CTTGACCCTCTAAAGAATGAATGATTTGTCTAGACAGTTTCAATGACGAAAAGTGAACACATCATCCATTAGCCAAGTATGTTATTCTCTACAGACACAAAGATATCATGCTTTTAGTCTGTAAGACTGAAAATAAACCAGCATGAGATATGCAAAGTCTACTACTAAAATACATTGATGTGACAGCACCATGGGGTAGATAAGCGAGACTTTTCATATATATATATACTGTATATACACTCTAAAAAATGCTGGGTTAAAAAGGGAAAAACTCAGCGGTTGGGTTGTTTTGAAACCACTGGGTCAAAACAACCCAATAGCTGGGTTTGTCCCTTTTTAACCCAGCGTTGGGTTATATTTAACCCAGCATTTTTTAGAGTGTATATGTGTGTGTGTGTGTGTGTGTGTGTGTGTGTGTGTGTGTGTGTGTGTGTGTGTGTGTGTGTGTGTGTGTGTGTGAATTTGTTAAAAAAATGGGTAACACTTTACAATAAGGTTCCATTAGTTAATCTTAGTTAATGTATTAACTAACATGAACAAATAATGAAGCAATACATGTATTACAGTATTTAATTCATCTTTGTTAATGTTAGTTAATGAAAATACAGTTGTTCATTGTTAGTTCATGTTAATTCACAGTGCATTAACTAATGTTAACAAGCACAAATTTTGATTTAAAAAATGCATTAGTAAATATTGAAATGAACATTAACTAAGATTAATAAATGCTGTAGAAGTATTGTTCATGCCTAGTTCATGTTAACTAAAGTAGTTACTTAACGTTAACTAATGAACCTTATTGTAAAGTGTTACCAAAAAATGAATATAAATAAGTCCATTTGCCCAGAACAAAACATGGCTTCTCATAAAAAGCTAACATATTTAAGAAACATAATGATTTTGGCACAGAGTCACAAAGGATTACAGAGGTCATCTTTGTTTTATGGTAGATTTTCTCGACACATGACAACAAATTGTTTTCCTGCATTTTGGTTATGCCACACTGTCTTTTGGCGGACATTAAGTTTTTCAAATATTAATAATATTTTAAAACAACATTGCTTTACTGCATATGCATAATTTAAATGAAATAAAAGATGATCCCAAACTTTGCACGTAACTCTTTTTTTTCCAGTTTTTTTTAACACATATAGCTACATTCAGCCCCAGAATTTTCTAACATTAGTTTAACTTAAAACACACACACACATATGAAATATATGAAAACGAATGAAATAAAAGATGATCCCAAACTTTGCACGTAACTCTTTTTTTCCCAGTTTTTTTTAACACATATAGCTACATTCAGCCCCAGAATTTTCTAACATTAGTTTAACTTAAAACACACACACACATATGAAATATATGAAAACGAATATTATATACACACACACACACACACACACATGTTGTGTTTCCATGGTTTATGGGGACATTCCATAGGCGTAATGGTTTTTATACTGTACAAACTGTATGTGCTA